TACCCCACTGCATTTAATTTATTTGTTTTGCATTTGCAACGTCAAATACGCTTGCATGCATTGTTATTGAACCCTTATAGGTTGATAACACAATTAAACTTTATATATAGAATATAAGGCATAAGGTAATATCTCAAGTTGGTATATATACCCCTAAAAATATGCGATAGGCTCACGGCATAATTGTTCTGTGGCAAATATATTCTTCAACAAACCCTAGAATATATTTATATATGTCCATCTTCATATCTAAATAGAACTTTATTTAGATTAATAGAACTTTGCGTTCGAAATGAAGTGAACTAGATATAGGCAGAGCGCAAGAAGATGACCAGGAGCCGGAGGCAATTAATTAAAGGAAACGTTATAATTAAATGCATCATAAGACGTCGTATTCCGACAAAAAAGACGCCCACACACCGCCAAAGATTTTCTGAGTTTACAGTCTGTTCCCACGACGGTTATATCCTGCGCATAAGCGGTAGTTTTAGCAGCTTTGACTAAAGTCATGTTTACATTACAAGCCTTGGTAAATGTTGCGCGTTTACACCATAACATTATTTTTTTGAGAATGGGTCACTTTGGCCTAGAATTTTGTAATTAATTTTGTGTATTTTTATGTGTTGTGGCGTTGTCCGCTCGCCGATAATATCTCACTGTGCCCTGTGGACGCACGTTGCCATGAAAATAAGGCCAGGGCCGTAAGTGTAAAACATTCCCACAAGCGTAGGCCAGACCTGGGCACCGGTTGTAGTTGGCCCAGATTTGCTGGCCTATAGGTCAGGCCAAGGCTAGGCCAAAGTGTGTTTACACTGCCAAAATGTAGGCCAAGGCCAGGCCAAGGCTTGTAGTGTAAACAAGACTTTAAGAAAGAAAGAACAACATATTATATTTATATATGATATATTGCGTGGTTTTTGAAAACGAAGCAACGACATATATAGCATATTATGCTTTGCTATATTGCGTGATGAGTTTCTTAACTGAACGAACCAACAACATATTATATTGATAGTATATTGCGTGATTTCTTAAGAACGAAGCAACAACATATTATATCATATTGATATAAGGATCTTTCCTTTCCCCTGTTATATACGTGGTCTCTTGAGAACGAAGAAACAACATATTACATTGATATATTGCGTGTAGGTTTCTTAAGAAAGAAACAACAACATATTATATTGCTATATGATATATTGCGTGGTTTTTGAAAACGAAGCAAGTGCTATATTAGCTATATTGATATATTGCGCGTCTCTTGAGAACAAATTAAGCAACGACGTAGGCTATATAGCATATTAGCCTATGCTTTGCTGTATTGCGTGATTTCTTAACCGAATGAACGAACAACATATTATATTGATAGCCTATATTGCGTGATTTCTTAAGAACGAAGCAACAACATACTATATTATTATTGATATAAGGATCTTCACGTTCCCGTGTTATTTACGTGGTCTCTTGAGAACGAAGGAAAATTATGTTGATATATATATTGCGTGAGTTCTTAAGAACGAAGCAACAACATATTGTTATATTATTGATATAGGCTAAGAAATGTCTATATTGACTTGCATATTATTTTTCCATTGGATCCAGTTGATCTCTTGAGAACGAAGCAACAACATATTATATTGCTATATGATATATTGCGTGGTTTTTGAAAACGAAGCAAGTGCTATATTAGCTATATTGATATATTGTGCGTCTCTTGAGAACAAATTAAGCAACGACGTAGGCTATATGGCATATTAGCCTATGCTTTGCTGTATTGCGTGATTTCTTAACCGAATGAACGAACAACATATTATATTGATAGCCTACATTGCGTGATTTCTTAAGAACGAAGCAACAACATACTATATTATTATTGATATAAGGATCTTCACGTTCCCGTGTTATTTAGGCTACGTGGTCTCTTGAGAACGAAGGAAAATTATGTTGATATATATATTGCGTGAGTTCTTAAGAACGAAGCAACAACATATTGTTATATTATTGATATAGGCTAAGGAATGTCTATATTGACTTGCATATTATTTTTCCATTGGATCCAGTTGATCTCTTGAGAACGAAGCAACAACATATTATATTGTCATTATTGATATATTGCGTGTAGGTTTCTTAATTTAAGAAAGAAAGAAAGAAAGAACAACATATTATATTGCTATATAATATATTGCGGGAGTTAAGAACGAAGCAACAACATATTATATTTATTTATTCATATAAGGATCTTCCCGTTCCCGTGTTATGTACACGTTGTCTCTAGTTGACAAAGAAGCAAAATAATGTTGATATATTGCGTGAGTTCTTAAGAACGAAGCAACAACATATTATATTTATTTATTCATGCATGTAAGGATCTTCCCGTTCCCGTGTTATGTACGCGTGGTCTCTAGTTGACAAAGAAGCAAAATTATGTTGATATATTGCGTGAGTTCTTAAAAACGAAGCAATAACATATTATATTTATTTATTCATATAAGGATCTTCCCGTTCCCGTGTTATGTACACGTGGTCTCTAGTTGACAAAGAAGCAAAATTATGTTGATATATTGCGTGAGTTTTTAAGAACGAAGCAATAACATATTGTTATATTATTGATTAAGAAATGTCTATTGACTTCCATATTATTTTCCCATTGGACCAATTGACAGGTAATTTTCCAATGGAAAGGCTAATTTGTCCATTGGATCCAATGGACAGGTAAAATTCCATTGGACAATAATTGGTCCATTGGATCCATTGGATCCATTGGACCATTGGAACATCTCTCTGGTTTCATAATATGTCCACATGGAGTCTTGCAACCTGTTAATTACGTAATGGTAAAAACGCGGAAGCTCATATCCGGTTGATGCATTGTTCCGATCGGCAACCTTCACATGGTCTGTTATTCGGGTGATGCATAGTTCCGATAGTTGATCCATTGCTGGCCAATGGACATTCCATTTGTCCATTGGATCCAATGGACAAGCAAAAGTCCAATGGAAAATTGGAGGTCCATTTGATCCATTTGACAAATGGAATGTCCAATGGCCTTTTGATTATTCCATTGGACATCTTGCATAGGTATTGGACATGTATGCCTTTTTCTTGACATGATAAACACTTAACCTTGGACTTGTCGAACTTCCTCCTTTGCTCCAATTTCCCCCCTATTACAGGGCCCTTCCTAATTTGCACATACTCATTGGCTAACGTCGCGAATTCCTCCGAAGTGGCTGCAGTGGCGTGCTGGGTACTACTTTTCTGGAGGGGCCAGTGGGCTGTCAACCAATATGCGCCCCTATAATGTTACACTTGAGAAACGAGGACCGAAGGCACGAGCCGAGTGCCGCAGGTGCGAGGTTTGTCTAGGGGGGTCCGGGGGCATGCCCCCCAGGAAAATTTTTGAATTTAGAGTCTCTGAAATGCCATTTCCTGGACTTTGGGGGAAGACTTGGCAGAAATCTGATGGTCAGGAAACGGCATTATAACGTGTCGAAATTTGCAATTTGATTAGAATTTAGTAGTAGTACTTAAATTATGCAATGATAACTACTTCCAGCGATTAATTTAATCCCAATTCTGTTCTCTACTGATCTACTGTTCTGAGCACATTTACAACTTAAAGCTCTTTTATACAATAACACACGCACCCCACGCATATGCATTTTAAGGTTTCGATCCTTGCCTGGCTGCCAAAAGGGCATGTTTCAGCATTATTTCATTACTTACATTACTCATGCTTCTTGTGCAAACAACTAAATTGCGTACACAACTTTACATCAGTTATCATAACTTCAACTATCCAATTTGCACCGCCCTCGTGATCGATTCGTGAAGCATATTATAAGGGCATAATACCAGCAAAAAAGGGCATAATTCCCGTGATCGCTTCGATCGAAACCTGACCAATATTCCGGTAATGAGACATTGCCTGTGATCACTGATAATGTTTCTATATGAACGATTTCGTGTGAGCTGCGAGGTAGCAAATACGGTTAGGCAAAATAGTCTGTAATTTATTATATGTCGCCTATGCGCTTAGTCTGTTTTAAACTGTAGCCTATAAACACGTCTTTTCTTGGCGGAAGTAACCATATTTTTTCGAGAATGTGTTTTTTCCCACCCACTTTCAAAATTCGGCGCACCATTTTCATTTTTGCGCCCCCCAAGAATTGCCAGCTGGGGGGGGGGGGTGGCTGTGGCCCCCCGGCCCCCCCTGCCAGCACGCCACTGAGTGGCTGGTTTCCTTTCCTTTAACCAAATGCATAATTCCCCCCCCCGACGCTATTTAGTAAATGTTCAATCACTAATTGGTCTAAAAATTTTTCAGCATCGCCGGTTGCCTTAGCTACTGCATGACATCCATCTGTCCAAATACCGCCTCGTCCTATGAGCCCATTGCCCGAAATCTTCATCCGGTTTTTTCTCGGTATGTCGAAACCAAAACCTATAATGATCTACATTAAGTTGGTACGATTTCAATATGATTTCCTTACTTTTATCATAGTTACAGGCATCCAATCCCGAAATTTCCAGAAATATAGATTTAGCTTTTTCGCTTAAACGTGGTGCCAAACTTCCTAACCATTCTGACCGTGGGATTTGCTGTGTTTTAGCCGTTATTTCAAAAATCCGAAAATAATCATCGATATCATGATATAATTACTCCATGTTAGGTCACGCGAAACAGTGACTCCAGGATCTTTAAAGCTTCTGTATCTTTCAAGATTGATGTTCCTAAAGTATAACTTGATTTTAGCGTATATCATTGGAGTGGGTTAACCGCATAGTTTCTCACTTTTCCACGTTAAATTTTAATTGCCATGTGTGTGCCCATTCATCGAGACTGTTTAAGTCGTTTTGCAAAATATGCGTGTCCAAGACAGGATCTTTTATTTCTCTATAAATTTTAGTGTCATCGGCATACAGTTTGGCTTTAGATAAAATACAGTCCGTTATATCAATAATGTATATTAAAAACAAAATTGGTCCAAGTATTGTACCTTGGGGAGTGCCTGAAGACACTGGTGACCATTCCGAAAAAGTCCGTCTAACTACAACACGTTGCTTCCTGCCTGTAATGAAATGACTAAACCATGTCAATAAACTCCCTTCGATACCATAACTTCTTAACTTCAAAATCAATCTTTCGTGCGGCACACTATCGAACGCCTTTGCGAGGTCAAGAAATATACCATCAGTGGGCACGCCAGAGTTCCTAGATCTCACCCAATCATCAACAGTTGATAGTAGTTGTGTTACTGTTGACTTGCTTTTCAAATAGGCAAACTGCTTCTCACTCAAAATATTCATTCTATACCAGAAATCGAGAACTCTACTTCGAACAACTTTCTCCCCTATTTTGCATATAATCCCTGTAAGAGATATCTGACGATAGTTTTCTCTACTATTCTTCGAATCTTTTTAAAAAATCGGCGTAATGTTGGCAGTTTTCCACTCTGTAGGTAGCATGCCCATCGAGAATGACTTATTTAGCAAAAGTGAGATTGAAGGTGCCAGCTCTGTTACACATACCTTTAGAATACGTTCAGGGATATTATCAGGTCCAGGGGACTTCTCCACCTTAAAATTTAGAAGAAGCTTCCCTACTTCGTCAACAGAACAACGGATGTTCTCTAATCTCTCGTCCACAATATAGTCAAGCACTGGGATATTATCATAATTTTCAACTGTAAAAACAGAAGAAAAATACGAGTTCATGCTATCTGCAATACCTTGGTCGTCAGTGAAAACAGATTCTCCAACTTTCAGGGATATCAATTTATTTGTTCCTTTACACTTGGATGTCACAAAGTTCCAAAATGGTTTGGGATTGTTATTGTCTGTCAAATCTTGAGCTAAATCGGTTATATACCTCCACCGAGCTTCATTGCACTTCCTTTTCAAATTGTTATTCATTTGACGATAATGAATCCAGGTACTTTCATTTCGGATCCGTTTTGCTTTTTTATAAAGTAGAATCTTCTTCCTACATAGAGATATTAGCTCTTTATTAATCCACGGCGCATTTTGTCTTTTTTCCCCTTTTGTTTTCGGGATGCATTCATCTAGTGCTGCAAAAAACATATCTTTCCATGAATTCCAATTCTCATCAATACTCTCTTCGAGAAATGCTAAGTTCCATGGAATTTGAGACAACGTTAATTTCAGTTGTAACCAATCAGCTTTTTTGTAACAATAAACAAATTTTTTGGATTTAAGCTGGACATATGGTTGTCCAGTTAATAAAAAGGTAATCATATTATGGTCTGAAAACTTTTCACCGACTGATAGGTTTTTTTATGCAATCAGATGAAGTTGATGGAACAAGAACAAGTATATTATGTTCCCTCGTGGGTTCAGTAACCAACTGAGTTAGAAAATTGTCCTGAATGATATTCATTAATATTGAATAATTTTCAGAGTTACTTAAAGCAGTATTGCTCGACCATGGAAAATCAGGCAGGTTAAAATCCCCTAAAAGCACAAGGTCAGACGTAGACAGTTTGTCCAGATCAGTTCTAAGATCAATTAGTGGTTCGGTGTTTGAATCTGGTGGCCTATAGAAAACTCCTAACGTAGTTCTCCGATTATTCGAAAATACAATCTCAACAAACGTCAGCTCTGAGCTACAGTAAAGATCATCTCTGGGATAAACATTGATCGAGTTCAATGCCGCAATTATAGGACCCCACCACCATGACGTCCATTTATATTTCTGTCACGCCTAAACACCGTATAATTATCAGGAAATATCTCTGCATCACCGATGCTACTGTCCAGGTGCGTCTCGGTTAAAACAATAATATCGTAAGAACCATTAGCTATTTCCAGCTTGTTTACTTTGTTAACTATACTTCTAGCATTTATTATTATTATTATAGAAGGATTACACATTGAATAGCTACAGTAAGTAACTAAATTAGAACGCGCATTACATATATATAGAAAATATACATTAATTACTGAACTATCTACATTAGGTATTATAAAAGTTTCAAATGAGATATTTATATTAAAAAAAGAGAGTTATTAACAAAGGTTCAAATGGCGAAACAAATGGACTGATCCAAAAACTATCACTACGTGTTAAAAATGTTTCGATAAAAATATATAAAGTTATATTATATATTATATTATAAAATAGAGTTATTATAGAGTTCAATTGACGAAACGATTGGACTGTTCCGAAAACGTTCTGTTCTGTAGTGGTAATTGTAAAACAATTGACCATTCTGACGTGTAACCCTTTGCCGTACCTTGCAAAGTTTATTAGAAAGAAGATGGTGCAGTTTGTGTTGCGGGTCAGACATTTTACTGATAAGATCAATGCACATAGTATTGCAACGTTGTTCAAGCGTATGCATTCCAGCTTTCAACAATAACTTTTCGTAATCTTTTTCGGAATAAATTATTCTCAAAGCCCTTCTTTGTACTTTCTCAATACTGCTGCTCTGTGCTTTAGTAAGGCCCCCATGCCAGACTTGCGCTCCATATTCAAGTGTCGGCCTGATGGCAGAGATGTAAAACCGTTTCATATCAATCTTGTCAGCACCGTATTTCTTTAAAGTTTTTAATAAAAAGAGTCGCTTAACTGCTTTCCCTATTATATAATCAGTATTAGTTTGCCACTTTAAATTATCGTCAATCCATAAGCCCAATAGTTTGAAAGTTGAAACCCTTTCCAACGTTGTATCATTGAATGTTAGTGGTGGAATAACTGTTTTGTTCTGACGGAAATCTAACTGCATTTCCTTACATTTTTTCAGGTTCAACTCCATTTTTTGAGACGTGGCAAAATCCATAACTTTCATAATATTATTGTTCATATTCCCAACTTGCGTACCCGAGACATGATCACGGACGTTAATAACCTCTGACAATGTTGTATCATCCATGAAAAGAGTGAGGTCATCATCACCATCATCATTATCATCATTGCTTGAATTAGTCAAACTGCTCTCGGTATCTTTTATCACTGCCTTCAGTCCGTTAATGTGAACGACGAACGCGATTGGACCAATACGACTACCTTGGGGAACTCCCCCATTAATCATGCATCTTGTAGAAAGTTCGTTACCAAATCTTGTGACTTGCATCCTCTTACTCAGATATGACCCCAACCAGCCAATAAGCCCCGGTCTGACTCCAATTTTACAACAGTTGTCTAATAGCAGGTTGTGATCAATAAGATCAAATGCCTTGCGAAAGTCCAAAAACACAATTCGTATTACTCGTTGTGATAAGTCCAACGCTTTATTCCATTTGTGTAGAAGGTGAACGAGCGCAAGAACTGCTGACGAGCGTGGGACACCACCATACTGTTCCTTACAAATTTTAGACTCAATATCGTCATACATCCAATCAACCACGTAAGACTCCTGTATTTTTGAAATTGTGCTAGTGAGAGCTATTGGTCTTATTTCATCCAGATTCGTGCACGGTTCCACTTTTGGTATAGGTGCTAGGCGGAACTCTTTCCACAGTTTTGGAAACACCTTCTGCCCAAATGATGCATTAAAAATGTTTGCTAATGGGATGGCAAAAGAATGCGCAAACATTTTGATTATCTTGAGGTAGGGGTCGTTTGGACCGGGAGCTTTGTGAGACTGAATGGACAAAAGCTTTTTCGCAACGCTTTCGGGTGTAACAGTCGGCAAGACATCTGAATGACCGTACAATGACCATCTGGATTGAATTTCTGGGAAATCATTTGTTAGATCTGCAAAAAACGTATTAATCATATTTGCAGCATCACTATCTTCGAGTTTGGAGTCTGATCCCTGCTCACTGAGATTGATAGAAGGTTTCTTCTTTCCAGTCAGTTTCCAGACCTTCTTCCACCACATTCGGGCATCCCCGTTGGTATTCAGCCTTCCAATGTTCATTACATAATAGTGCCTCTTTGCCTTTGTAATTTCCGATGCTACTCTATTACGAAGTTTCCTAAACTTCTGCATTCTTCCTTGTTTGTATGCGTTATCTCGCTTCCTTAGTAACTTTTTTATTTTTGTTGTTATAAAAAATTTATTATCGGAGTGCATTCGAACTGTTCTCTCCGGGAAATAGTAATTAATCATGTCGTTAGTAGCTCTGGTGAAATCCTCAACCTTTTCATCTACGTTCTCAAGGTTTAGTACGGTTGACCAATCATATTGGGCAAGACAGGAACCAAATTGTTGCAGGTTATATCTTAGCGTTGGACGAAATTTAATTTTCTTCACAATGTTTACCGAGCGCTGCTGTGATTTCGCCATCCAAATAACCATATTATGGTCTGAGGTAGACAGTGGTGCAATTACTTCAGGGGGGTTATAATGTGAGCTCCTGTTAGTAAAAATAAGATCTAGGATATTGGAGTTTCGTGTCGGATCCTTAACCACTTGCTTTAAATTAAAATCACAATAGTCAGAAAGACACATTTGTATATAAAACAGCAAGGTCTATGCCCTTCCGGATTTTTTCATTCATCACGTAATGTGATTGAAGCTCTTGATAAAACTGTCTAAAATCCTAAGTTTCCTTATTTTTGTCCTGCCATTTGGCCTGTGATACCCATGGTCGTGCGTACACATTCTCCGGCCAAAAGTCATTTTGCAAAACCCGTTCGTAATCCGTACTATTAACATTAACGCGAATGGCCACAGTACCTTTTCTTTTACTTTTGAAAATCCTTTTAACAGTTGGAGAAATACCTTTACGCTCCATATATTCAGTAACTAACTCCGATGTCGCGCCCTCCCGAGCTCCACCGAGATACAATCTCTTTACCACTCTTCTTGCTACACCAACAAATTCAGAGTTGCTATTATCCTCGAGGACGATCTGTTGATTGTTATTCACTTCCGATTGATTTTGGTTAGTCAACACATGTTCTAGTGAATTTCCATTATTTTCTGAATCTGATCTTTTTGTGTTTGACTCTAGGGAATAATTCGCATTTTGTTTTACCACCGCAGCAAATGTTATTTCCGACCTATTATTATTACTATTATCGTTTGGATCCTACGACTCGATGTTAATCGCCATAGGTCTATCATTGTCTAAATTTTGATTAGTAGCATTCGATTGATTCTGAATGTTTTTAAATGAACGTTCCGCATCATTAATGTTAGAATTTGCATATTTTTTCAAATTGTCAATTTTTTTGCATATTTTCTGGGTTGATTGTTTGAGCTCTATTATACTTTCGCCTTGTCCTGTCAGCTTAATATCTATACTTTCTAGTTTATTTCTCGTACTTTCAGAATCAGTTTTGTAATTCCCTTTAAGTGTAGCTAATTCTGACTCTAGCGATTCAATTTTAGCTTGTTTTTCACATAAATTATGTTTCAAATCCGACACTTCAGTCATCAAATCTAAACGAGTTTGATTTTCGAATTCGAATTTTCTTTAAAATTCAACTTCATTTTGTCAAGAGTTTTTAATTCTTTTTGTAAGCAAGTTGGCATAAACAAACTTGGGAAATGATCATAAACTCATAAAGGCACATAACTTATACTAGGACAAATGATTCAAACTCAAAAACATATGTTCAGAGAATTATGAAAATCTTTTGATATAAATTGTATATTTACAGATTTACATAGTCACGTTTCGCTGCATCTCGCCGAGATTATTTCTTAAAACTGTTTCCAGGTATTCTCCACAGGATCTTTTTGCCAGACTATGTTTTTTAAACTCATTCTTGTGCCAAAATTTAGTTCAATTCGTCCATGTGGTTTTTATACAAGATAAAGATAAATTTCCCCGCCATATTGGATTTGTTGTTTGGATTTCCCGGACCCCCCCCCCCCAGCCATCGAAAATCATTAATTGCATCACAGTAGCCCAATCGCAAGGGTCAAGTACCATCGAGATTGACCGGGTGCAAAGTCTCGGAAAATATTAGTCCAACAAAAGAGGAATAAAAGGAGAACACACACTATCGAATAGACAAGTCAATTTCATTTTAAAATTTATATTTTATTACATATTTTTACTATAATATACATTGCTATAATATACAAGTCTATACTGTCGCTTGCGAGATTGGGCCACCTATGATCTATAGTATATGTTTGGAATGCAAGTTCAATCACAGGGGGGAGAGGGGATGGGGGGGGCAAGCTATGAAAATTTATTATATTTAAAGGGGGGCATGAAAAAAATATTTTGAAAGAGGAGCCATGAAAAATTTACCATGAGTTTAGAAATATCATCTGCCCCCCCCCCGGCATTAATGACTGCTCCCTCCCTCCCATTAATAATGACTACTTTTTACTTTAGTAATATTTAAATTTTAAATTTTCACTAAGAACACCCTGAAGAACACCTCGAATAATATTGTATTAATGCACAGTAATAAAACACTTAAAATATAGGTATTTTTAATATACCGTAAGGTTTTATATTATTAAAACACTACGAATATTGCTTCTACCGTAGTTCGACTATTTTCTTTTTGTTTTCGAAGTCATATTAATAAAGAGTCTCACTGTGCACGCCAACACTTTCATTTAAATATTTGCAATACAGTGGATTTCCTTTCAACACGTATTTAAATCTTTCTTTGGCTAGACTGTTTCAAGAAAAATTCGTTAACCTACATTCCCGCATTCCCCGTTCCCGCATTCCCCCACTCCCGTTACCTATTTTAAAGATAGCCTTCCCCCATTCCCCGTTCCCCCATTCCCTGTCCCCCATTCCCCGTTCCCCCATTTCCCGTTCCACCATTCCTGTTCCCCCATTCCCTGTTCCCCCATTCCCCCATTGCCTGTTCCGCTGTTTCCCCATTCCCTGTTCCCCCATCTCCCGTTCCCCCATCTCCCGTTCCCCCATTACCTGTTCCCCTGTTCCCCCATTCCACTGTTCCCCCATTCCACTGTTCCCCCATTCCCGTTCCCCCATTCCCGCATTCCCCCATTTCCGCATTCCCCCATTTCCGCATTCCCGCATTCCCCCATTCCCGCATTCCCCCATTCCCGTTCCCTATTTTAAAGATAGCCTACGAGTACATACGAGTAGAATACGAGTAAAATACGACTAGTAAACTTGTTTTTAGTGTTTGTAGATTGAATACAGGCAAAAAGATCGTCTTCTCTGTCGAAAAACGTGAGATAGACTGAAACCGGCTATCTTTAAAACCCGGAACGGGGAATGGGGGGCGGGGGACGGGGAATGGGAGAACGGGAAGTGGGGGAACGGGGAACGGAGGGAATGGAGGGGCGAGGGGTGGAGGGAAGAAATAGGAGACAGGGGGCGGGGGAGGTCTGCCAGATTCTATAAACCACAACTTTGTAGTTTGTACAACATCTACTTTTAGGTATTCTACCTAGATAGTTACATACATGACACAAACCATAGGCTTCACATATTTCACGGCATGGTTTGCTTTCAAAACCCTGTGAGCATGCACAAAACCTAACTCACTAACTGCATCTACTTAAAATAGTACTAGGTGATAAACTTACAATCCTTACATAGCCTCAATCACAACATGTGGCTAGGCAACCTTTTTTAAGGATTTTCCCGTGGGGGGTATTTTTTGAAAAGGGATCTTAGATAATATATTAGAAGGGGACAGCAATGGCCGACGGCCACGGTGTGTGGCCGACATACTCCCCCAGAAAATGTTTTAAATTTTAACCTTTCAAATACCATTTCCTGCTTTATGAGCGTCTAAATTTGCTCTAAAATTTATGCTAATTATACCTGTATTTGAAATAAAAGAAGGAAAAAATGCAGAAAAAATAAAAGAAATATTAACAATAATTTATCCATTACTTATTATTAAAGGGGGATAGCAATGGCCGTGGGTCACGTGTGTGGCCGACATACCGCGAATGAATAGGGGGGTCTGGAGGCATTAACTCCCCAGAAAATTTTTGAAATTTCAAGCCCAAAAATGCCATTTCCTGCCGTCTGAGCATCTAAATTTTCTAGAATTTATCCTAACTATACTTCTATTTGAAATAAAAGAAGGAAAAAACACACAAAGAATTTAAAAAATATTAACAATAATTTATCATTACTTAGTGTTAGAAACACGTAGGATGCGCACGCGGTGACACAGTCCTTTAAATCGATTTTGTTAAACAAGGACCAAGGATAAAGCCTAAAACGTACGTTCCGTTTATCAATTTGTTATTCTTCGCTGGTTTGTTTGTATAAATTTAGGAAAAAGGGACTTTTCCTGGGGGGGGGGGGTGAAAGTGAGCCTCAGAACGTGCATTTTCATTTCCGATCAGCCTGCATCAGAGCAAAGTATCCAAGCTTTCTTGGCGACGTTCTTGTTCCTCCAGACTTTCCTCCCCTTCTGAAGGTGGAGCACGTCCAAAGGCTTGCAGGAGAGTTCGGCTGGGTCCTTTAGAAACGTACTTGCCAACTTAAATTGCTAACTTAAAATCTGCGTATTTTGGAGTATTTTGTGTTTTGTTAGTTTTGCTTTGTAAGATATTTAAAATAGGATAATCACTTTAAGATATCATATGGAGCATAAGGACCGCCTTGGGCTTGCATCTAGTCCTTAAGTTTGTTTTATTATATAGCAAGTATATTAGTAATGACATAAGCAATGTTATTATTATTAATATTACTTAATGACCGGACATAAGCAATGTGGATTGACTTTTTTATGATACGCTGTACTAATAAAGGAAAGCTTCGCTAAATTTCTTTACTAGTTTTAATTCATTGAGCGGTTTTCTAATTCCCAAGACACCAGAGTCCGTTTTATAGTTTCGTAATTCCCCGATTCCCGTTTATCCTGTCGAATTTCTGTTTCTTTTTTCTGTTCTTTTCCCCCCGTACATATGATTAATATTACGTATTAATAATAATTCATAATTGCTCGACCCCTCCCCCCGTTACTCGTTCCTCCATTCCCCGTTCTCCGTTCCCCCCATTCCCCGTTCCTCCATTCCCCGTTCCCCCATTCCACGTTTTTCGACAGAGAAGACGATCTTTTTGCCTGTATTCAATCTACAAACACCAAAAACAAGTTTACTAGTCGTATTTTACTCGTATGTACTCGTATTC